TCCCCCTCACGATTATTCTAATTTGGGGCCACTGGAAGCCATTGGCGTTGACCTGGCCAAGTCGGTGGTTCACATTCCTCTATTGCATGTCGGTCGCGCCAAGGATCCTTCGCCATCCACCCTACGATTCCCGGTCGCCGTGATCTCCATATTGTCTCCCATCATCCCTTACCCCACGAACTTGAGAAGATCGTTATCGTATCTTATGCCTCACCTCACCACTTCGTTCTGTCTCGCGCAACACTACAGCCAGCTTGAGCGTCAAGTCACTTCGCGGCTTGAGGCTCCCCGCTATGGCCAGCTCCTGGGACTCGGCGGAACCTTTTCTGATGAAAGCAGCGAGCTGGAATTGGTCGCAGGTCTCAGTGGTCATGTGAGCTATACGATAGCGGACGATGGCTCTTTGTCAGCTCGAGCTAGTATCTCAAGCCCAGAAGAAAGGTCAAGTTCTACCAAGCTCAGCCCATCGCTATCTAATCTTGGAACACCTGGGGTCGATCTAGGTCTTGTTGCGTCAGGAGGCAGCAATTTCTGCGAATCACCTGGGGTGGTACCTAAGACAGGGACCGATAATCCCGATGGCTACTTCAACGTGCACCAGTCGAAAAGTTTTCGGGACGCCATCACTCAGCATCGGAACAGGTTGACTAAGATGAGACAGCACATGGCATCATCAACCCCCACGTCACCCGGGAGACTCGTAAGCAAGTCTGCCGAGGAAGACGCCACACCGCAAGACCAGAGTCCAGGCGTTGTATCTCCTCTGCAGGATGTGAAGGGATCTCAGGTTATATCACCAACGCAGACTGCCTCCCGCCATCCCTCAACGAATTCCTTCTACGCCCAGCTGCAACGCGAACTACCCCGTCCATTCTCTGATACAGTGGCGCAACTCATGCTGAACTCGGTACCATTACATCTTTTCCTTGCGAAACCCCAGAGCGGAGAAGTAATATGGACCAACTCGAAATTTGATGCCTACCGAAGGAGCCAGCCTCAAGAGCAGAGATTGCGAGACGTTTGGCAGAATATTCATAGCAGCGAAAGAGAGCACATGTCTCAGGAATGGGCAAACGCATTACGTACAGGGTCACAATTTACGGAACGGGTCCGGGTCAGACGCTTTAATGACGAGTCGGCATATCGATGGTTCATTTTCCGGGCAAACCCTTTGCTATCTTCCACCGGGGAGGTGCTTTACTGGATCGGATCGTTTCTCGACATACACGAGCAACATATTGCCGAATTGAAAGCTGCGCAGGAGAAAGAGAAATTCGCGACCGATGCCAAATATCGAGCCTTCTCCAACTCCATTCCCCAGATTGTCTTCGAGGCTACAGAATATAGGGGCCTCATTTTCGTCAATGAGCAATGGCACCTCTACACCGGTCAAAAGCTGGAGGAAGCGCTGAACTTCGGCTTCGCCAAGCACGTCCACACCGATGATCTAGAGAAATGTGGCCTTCTTTCCCTTTACCTTTCTGAGCCGCGGAAAATCGAGTGCACAGCCGAACCCGGCGAAAGTGCAGCGGAAGCCATACGTCAGGCTGTCTCACAAGACAGTCAATTTGGCCAGGGCGTTACACCTGCATTGGAAGAACTTGTGAGGCGTGGAGTTGCCTCGGTGCAGAGGGACGAAAATGGACGTGTCTTTTACTCTACCGAAATAAGGCTTCGCTCCAGGGGCGGGGATTTCAGATGGCATCTTGTTCGTCTGGTTTGTGTCGAGACTAGCAGTTTTGGAAGCGGAGAAGGAGAAGCTTCATGGTACGGTACATGCACGGACATCAATGACCGCAAGAATCTCGAACGTGAACTCAATAAAGCCATGCAGCAACTCAATAACCAGATGGAATCGAAGACGAAGTTTTTCAGCAACATGTCGCACGAGATTCGCACTCCGCTGAATGGTATCCTTGGCACCATCCCTTTCATTCTCGACACCCAGCTCGACACTGATCAGAGACGTATGCTCGACACTATCCAGAATAGCTCAACCAACCTTCGAGAGCTGGTTGATAACATTCTGGACGTTTCTAGAGTGGAAGCCGGCAAAATGACAATGGTCAACTCATGGTTCCATGTACGGTCTGTGATTGAGGATGTCATCGACACCGTCTCGTCTAGGGCGATCGACAAGGGCCTTGAAATCAACTATTTGATGGACGCAAATGTGCCACCCATGGTTATCGGAGACAGGTTCCGTATACGACAGGTCCTCATCAACCTTGTCGGCAACGCAGTCAAGTTTACTGCTCAGGGTGAGATCCATATATGCTGCTCCATCTATGATGGTGCCCCGGCTACTCCCAACTCCACGGAGTTGTTGTTGAATTTCGACGTTGTGGATACCGGTAAAGGTTTCAGCGTCAGGGATGCAGAGCGATTGATGCAGAGGTTCAGTCAGCTGGGACAGAACGGCTCTCAGCAGCATGCGGGTAGCGGTCTCGGGCTATTTTTGTCGAAACAGCTTGTCGAAATGCATGGCGGCAAGTTGACGCCCACCAGTAAGGAAGGGCAAGGTGCCAAATTCTCGTTCTATGTTAAAGTCGACGCTCCTCCACCGCCAACTCCCGACGAGCCGCGGCTTGTCCGTCAATCGTCCAGCACTTCTGACGTCTTCCTCGAGCACCTCAAGCCGAATCCGCTGCAGAAGATGCTGTTCAGGAAGGACTCTATGGATAGCAGAGGACCCGACGCAGCCGATTTCTCCTCTACTCTTGAGACCTCTTTAACCCAATCACAGACGAGCTACGAGACCCCTGTACGCTTTCCTTCGGTCAACTTCTCCGAGAGGTCTTCGATCTCCTCGGCCCTTCCTACCCCCGACCCCTACACGCTGGATCCGTTGGCAAGGCTTGACAACTCCAAGTCGGCCCTCTCAAGCGGCGATATCTCGCAGCCAACGGCGCAATCTTCCTCCTCACCCTCGCAAGAATCATTTGCCTCGACCAAGCCCACGGAGTACACCGGGTCGGACGCGCAGCCTTTACCCAGCTCTTACTCGATCCTTATTCTTTGTCCTCTGGACAATACCCGCCAAGCTATCAAGCAACACATCGAGCAGGTGGTCCCTCTGGAAGTCCCCTTCTCTATCACTTCCACCCCTGACGTGGAAGATTGGAGGGATTCGGTCAGCGATGTCACGAAGCTTACCCATTTGGTCCTCAACCTGCCCAACGTGGATGACGTTCTGGATATGATGCATTATGTCTCCGAGTGTGAGTTGGAGACCGCACCAAGTCTTGTCATCATCTCCGATCTGTATCAGAAGCGACAAATCAATGCTAGGATAAAGGAGTTGGCCTCTAGCGGGAGACGTATATACACTGTTCCGAAACCGGTGAAGCCGTCTGCCTTTTCCTCTATATTTGATCCCGACAATCGACGCGATTTGAGCAAGGACAGGAACCAGGATATGGCCCGGGAAATCAACAACAATTTCAAGACCATGTCGAAGATGGTGAAAGAGGTCATCGGCAACAAGGGTTACCGAGTGCTACTTGTTGAGGATGATGATACGAACCGTATGGTAAGTGTGAACACATGTGGAATTCGCTGTGTGTTACCCTGTATGCTAACGTGTTTCAGGTGATGATGAAATACCTCGACAAGATCAAGGTCATGGCGGAGACAGCCACAAATGGACAAGAGTGTACAGAAATGGTGTTTTCCAAGGAACCAGGATACTACTCTCTCATCATTGTAAGTGAAAGACATCGCAGCAAGCGGACTCAATGATTCCAAGTTCGCTGACACGACCTGCAGTGCGACATCCAAATGCCCATCAAGAACGGTTACGAGACGTGCCGTGACATTCGTGCTTGGGAATCAAAGAACCACTACCCACAAATCCCGATCATGGCCCTTTCGGCCAACGCGATGACCGATCAGATCGAGGATGCCGCACGTGCTGGCTTCAACGACTATGTCACCAAACCCATCAAACACAATGAACTGGGCAAGATGATGATGGGGCTCCTGGACCCCAATCGGCCATTACTTCTTCTACGGGACCGCCTCAAGGCCGAGAATGCGGAGAAGTTCCGCTCCGAGTAGATGCTTTCGCCAGCGTGAACCGTCCTTGATCGCACGTCGGCAATTCCTCTTTTGTCTTCTCTCAACTTTCTGCGCGTCTCCAACCTCCGGCAGCGGCAGTCAGAAAGTGCCACAATGTACTGCTACGTATTCAAACCTGATTTATTCGCTTTGGGCCAAGGGGGTCTATAATATCTTTCGTCTCTTTTTCTCTTTTTGTTTGGGACCGGGAACGAAGTTTCGGACGGAACGGCGCCCCGGATGATATTTCGAGTCTTGATTAATATTGCTTTCTACGCCACACTTATCACGGTTGTGACCACGTTCCTCCATGGCATTTGTTTGCATTCGGCATGCCAGTTCGAATTGATACCTTTCAGCATTCACACGGGGCGGGGGTTTTCATGCTTGTTGTGTTGTTCCTTGGACCAGCGGACTTTAGTTCATGGCGTCAGTTTGTTCTCTCAGGGAATTTGTGTTGAGAAAATCCCTCCATCTTTCTTCTTCTGCCTTTTCCCAATACCAACACCGATACCGATACCGATACCGATACCAGATTTTCACGAGCATGACCTTTCTACCCTTCTGGAATTGTATTTGCAACACCCAACAGAGCATGTGTTATTTTCGCCGCGGCGTTTCCACTGTTGTCGATCGATTGATTGTGATCCCTCACGATGAAGTAGATTATTGAATTTTTATAGTGATATACCCTACCTAGTCTGGCTGCTAGCAAGCTATAACGATGAATTATACGGAGCTAAACGTTGTTCCTGCTCTTTTTTCTTCTTCTTTTTTTTTCAGCATAATTTATGCTTAGGCGAATGTTGAAAACACATTACTGTACTGGAAACCTCCCCTTTCCGGTACATGATCTTCTGAATAATGGATTTATGTAGGATCGTATTTCTCATTATTGGCAATTTACCACGCTGAAGATTACATACTAAACAGAAGGCACCGCTCATCACAAGCCTCGACCTAGGCCCGTCTACCAAAGACCCGGAAGCGCTTCACGCCACCGTCCGGCACGAGGGTCAACTTCACATGGGTGAACGCCTGGGTATCGACACCCGCGGCCAGATCCGCACCCTGGAAGACATGCTCGGTATCGGCCTGACAGCGCTGATCGCCCTTGACGATCTCCACCCAGCCGGGATGATCATGGGCGGGCACGGCGACGGGGCCGCCCTCGCCACCCTCCCCCTTCACCAAGCCGTGCACGCGGACCGCGCGGGGGAAATTGCCCCGGAAGTCCTTGGTATCGACGACGACCCTGGACACGGCGCCCGGCAACCCCAGCTGCACGATGGCCCAGTCGACATGGCCCGGGGCGCGCGACCGCGCCGTCTCCCACCCATCGCCCATATCCTTCCCGCGGCCGGGCAGCAACAGATTCGAGCACGGGGTATAATGCTGATCCGAGGCCGCCAGCGCCAGACCCCCGCACAACGCCGACGACAGCTCCTCCTCCTCCTCCTCCTCTTTCTCGTCCTGTGCACCAGCGACAGCCACCCTCTCCCCGCGCGCCGCCGGAATCGCATGACCATACAGCCTCAACCGCCCAAAGCCCCCGTCGGGGTACATGAGCAGACGCACATGGGTGTAGGGCGTGGGGTTCTTTGGGTCAAATCCGGGAACCCTCCAGGCGCGGCGCTGCGAGGGCCCACAGGGCTGGGGCGGAAGGATGGTGGTCCAGCCGGCGTAGCTGGGGTCGGCGAGCACGGCGTCGTCGGCGTCGGAGCACGTCGCCTGCACCTCGGCCTTCTCGCCGTAGTTGCCGACGAAGAAGCCCGTGTCGACCTCGACGCCCTGGATGGCGGCCCGCGCCGTCCCCAGCTTGATCACCACCCAGTCGTAGGCGTCCGGGTTGTGGCGCCGCGTCTCCCACCCGTCGTACCAGGCGCCCGTGTGGATGAAGACCCCCGGCCGGTTGATCGGCGCCGTCGGCGTGAGGAGGTTCGACGCCGCGGCGAAGTATTCGTTGCTGCAGGCGACGATGCGCGTGTTCAGGGCCGCCGAGGCCAGGTTGGTCGTGTGTGCGAAGGTGCTGTCGATTTCGGGGCCGGGGATGTAGGGGGATTCGGTGGTGGCCATGGTGGGGGGTGTTTTGTGACTGGAAATAGGTAGAGTGGGGTTTTTAAAAGGTGTTAGAGAGATTGGAAAGAATGGAGAGGAATTGGTGTGGAGGAGGAGGAGGAGGCAGAGGGAATTGTTGAAGTGGAGGAATTGCAGGGCATTTTATATAGACGACGTCAGGAGGGGCACCTACTCACTGCAGCAACAGCCGATTCCCGATACAGCGCGCCAGCGATAAGAGATTCCCCCGCCGATTTTCCCGCATTACTCGATCTTATCGCTTCATCGCAGGCCTTTCCTTTCCCCACTTTAATCTTCTCCAACTCCGACACTTGTTGTTGTTTCCACACCTTCATCTTCGACATTCAACTGCGTGATCTTGCGGGATGATAACAGGTGTGTTTGTTTGAGCCTTCGCTCATCCTCCTGCTCAATTGTTAACAGAGGTACCTAGTAGCTATAGGATCCGACCTCAACCGACCTCAACCGACACCTCACACAGAGGCTGTCAACAAGCGACTGACACCCACCCACACCCGGGCCCACCCACCTCTTCTGCCTCTTGGGATCCCGTTCGGAGGTCTCCGACGCTCGCATCTTTCCGAGGGGAACACACACCCTCAATTGCAACTCTATTTTCGTGATGAGGGGGAAAATCCATCATTCACAGGAAACACCTTCCACAGCTGCTACTATGCCTCGGGAAGAAATCAAATCCTGTCAGGCAATGTATGTGGTCCTGAAACTTGCCGTGCCGTGACTGTTCCCCCTCACTCCCCCATTTCGCCTCCGCCGCACCGCTCCTGCTCCTAATACCAAACCCCTCTTGTCCATGTCGTTTCCCTCGGATAAACCCCTCGACTGGCGGAGGTGGAAGATGCGCTGCATGTGGTAAATTGAACCTCCCAAGACAGGGAGTGCGCGCGCGCGTGTGTGTCAACACCACACGCCGCGACTTTACACGACCTTCGCTTCCCTGGGTTCTGGATTGTGGCAGGACTTGCTAGGCCGAAGAGGGCATGTCGCGTGCCCAATGTAGGACATCAGAGAGGAGGGAGGACGAGCCGTTCACGATTGCTTTTGCGTGACGCGACTCGACCCTCGGATAAAGCACTATATCTATCTACAGACGAAAAAGAAAATGGGAGGGTAAAAAAAAAAAAAAGGAAAAAAAAAAGGAAAAAAAAAGAAAAGATGCCGTGAACGCCACTCGGACCCCACTTCTGGATGCTCCTCATTGTTTATTGTTCTTTTTCTGGGGGGCTATCCCGAGACATATACTTGATCTGATCTCGAAGTACAGTACTTGATCTACATCGGGGTGGGGGAGGCCGCTTCGCCTCCTTGGTTACAGTTACAGTGTACGTGCAAGATGCTGTGTTCGTCTCAGAGAGGCTATGTTACATTCGTGACGTCGCGGGGATTTTCTTTTTCTTTTTTTTTTCCTTTTCTTTTTTGTCGCCCTATGAACTATGTGGGAGCTTCTCGAGGGAGGAGGGACACCCTACCTTCCCTGAGCCGTGAGTTGGTCACGAGTGTACTCACTATGGAAGGTGAGGTCATTGCAGTCACTCAGGAAGCATGAGCAGCTTCCATCACATTTGAAGCAGAGGTGGGACCGATGATGAAACATTCATTCAACTCATACAAGCAGAATGAGAGGGGAGAGTTCCCAAAAGAAAGGAAACAACAGAATCAAAACCAAAACCAAGGAGACCGAAACCACTCTCGGGTTTACTTTTAAACCACAACGCGCACACTCTTCACTTGCAATTGATCTTGACACCAGTGCGTTGTTCGAATCCACATCTAAACCAACGCCAGTGATGCTATCTCTCCCCACGGTCGGCGCTGCAACCTTATGCTGTGGGTGTTTGTTTTTCTCTTATCGTTTTTTTTTCTTTGTTTTTCCCATTCAGCTAGTGCTCTGGGTCGCCACCTCCTCCAGTCGTTTATACCGCCACTCGTATTGTGCGAGCTGCTTTCTTTCCGCGGGAGACAGAGACTTGCCCTTGTCTGCCATCTCCTTCTCCACCTGCTTCAGCATCTCCCAGCGCTTGAGGATCCGCGCTTGGGCATCCGAGATTGATGCTAGATTGGAGTCCTTGGATGCCATGCGGGCTTCGATAGTGGAGTGATAGGAGAGCTTGGCGTGGAAGAGAGCCATGTCGGACTCGTCATACTTCAACCCGCGTGCTTCAGGGAGAGCAGCTTGGTGGTAAAGGCCCTTGGGTGGCATGGCAGGCCGGCTTGCTATCCAGAGACAGAGGTGGAGAAGCGGCAGAGAAAGACAGTGAGAGGTAAAGAGTATCACAGAGGATCAAGTGGTGAAAGGAGGCCCAAGGGCAGCAAGAAGCCAATGAAGTTCAATCGAGCTTTGTCAGATGAGGGGTTTTCGTTGTGTCAAGTAGTGGAAGTCACTTCTGATGTTTCCCAGGTATATGAAGAAGAGAGGGAGACGACGGCGGCCCAAAGGGTTTGTGTGAGAGAGAAAGCTTTTGTTTCTGATGAGTTTCCAGAAGGGATGGCAGAAAGAGGAACGGCTGGAATTGGGGGCTCGAGAGCGATTCTTCAATGGAGGTCAAGGACTCTCCTTGGTCTTTATCTTAATATGTTGCCTCCCAGACCCTAATATCTCTCAGCTGTCTGTTTCTCCTGTGACAGGGACCACGGTGATACCAGACGAGGACCATCAGATGCACCTGCTGCCAACAAGGACGAGGAAAGAAAGGGAAAAAAAAGGGCCCAAAAACGACACAGACAAGCCAGCACCTCTTTTTTTTTTTGATTATTTTGTCTCTATAAATTCTTCGCCTCTGGGATGAGTCTGATGAGGTGTTCGAGGTTCACTCGTGCCCAGTCCCAATTGTGTCCTTATCTCGTGATTGTTGCCCGAGGGGGCCAATCCCCGAAACGGATGATGGTATCGTTCGTTTCCTGTTTGGGATGGAGTTGTGAAACCGTCAAGATGACACCAGCGCAGCCTATCGTCGGCTGGTCTAGGGGAGAAGAGATTGAGGCAGGAGTAGGAGGAGGAGGAGGAGGAGGAGGAGGAGGAGGAAGAGGAGGGCGAGCGGGAGGCGTGGGTTTCAATGACCCTGCTGCAAAGTGCCTTGGGCTTTTCCATGATTGTGCCTGAAAGCGCAGCCTATCCTTCCCTCTCTTCCGAAGAAAGCTACCTCCACAACCTTGGTCCGGATCGATGGCCGCGACGGGGAGGGGAGGTGCTTAGGCCCTTCTTTTTACTCCCTCTGTCATTGTTCATGTTCGCTGATGCGGTTCTTGCATATGTAGTGGGCCGCCGGAAATTTCGCCTCTTCATTCCATCATATAACGAACGCTCACCGAAGTTTGACCCCGTCTTTTTCCAACACGAGAATCATACCCCCGAGGAAAGGAAAAAAAAAAAGGCCATGCGACCTGTTTGTTACACCGATTGATCCCAGTTTACCCGCCAAAAAAGAAATAGGGCGTTCTGCCAGAGAGAATGATGTTGCATGTCCTGTCCCTGAGAGGAATGTCGTTCATTTTTGGACTAGGTGTCCCAGCGAGTGGCAGGAGGCGATTTCGGTTGACCTTGTCGGGACGTTGGGTATTTTCCGGGGTAAAATTGGGGAAGGGGGGTCTTTCAAGGTTACAGAAACAGGTGTGTATGTGGATGTGTGTGTGTGGTGTGTAGCTTCACGGCTACTCCCAATGGATGAAAAGCAGGGAGAAACCCTGGCTTACTTTCTTTTGGTCGTGGACGAGCACCACCACCACCACCACAGCAGCAGCACCAGCAGCCTCCTTCTTTCGCTGGTATAGGGGGGCGAGAGCTTCTTGCTGCTGCTGCCGCCGCCGTCGATGGCATTTTGGCCTTATAATCCCCGATTCGTGGCTCTTTCCGAAGTGATCTGCATGTAGCCGCTGGATGCGTTGTTGTGCAACCTTTAGGGGGGTAAGGAGAAGACTCGAAGAGAATCAGAAAAGAATGACGGGCAGAGTGGGTAAGAGCGAAGGTTGGGAGGGAGGGGGGTTGGTTCTATGATCTTTTTTATCAATTTGTTCTAAAGGGGGATCTCCGATGGCAGACAGGACTTTGGATCCTCTTGTTACAAAGCTGCTCTGCTCGAGTGGCCTTGGAGCAACGCAGCTGTCATACTGACTGATTTGGGACCTGAAAGGGTTAATGAACCTTTTCTCCTGTTGCATCTACTTCTTTTTCTCTGGTTCAATTCCCTTTCCAGGCAATGCATGCGTTCATGCCCCCATCCGTGGATACGGTATGTCTGTTGTGTGTTGTCTGTTGTGTGTGTGTGTGTGTGTGTGTGTGTGTGTGTGTATGGTTTGATCATGCGGTCCTCAACCGGTCAACCGGTCAACCGGTCAACGTCAACGGGCTCCTTGCAGATCTGTAGTGATGCGATCTGCTCTGCTCCCGTTGAAGGGAAGTGTCTATCCTTCATTTAGGTAAGGGTGGCGGCGCGCAACGGTTGGAATCAGTCTGAGACAAGACTTCCCAACGGTCGAGGCGAGAGACATAGATCCCTGATTGCTGAACCCCCCTGTCTTTTTTCGGGGGGGTGGTGTAGATCATGAGGCTAGGGCTTACGGGAGGCGATCTGATCTGATCTGATCTGGTGATGTCGATGTCGATGTTGCCGTTGACGTCGCCTTGTCGAGATCCCACTCGAGTGTTCACTTTCTCTTGCTACTGCGTACTGCGTAGATACATACACACTGACTTACTTATTTACTAGGGACAGTACATAGACACAGACCGGGTGAGATCGTGACTGCCGTGTTACTGGGCTGGAATGCTGTGAGCGTTGGGCTAGTCACGGCGGTGCTGTGGAAGTGATGCTCGACTTGTTGGGGCGGGATTCGTTCCAATGGGATTGGCTCGGGGTTTGGGTCTCTTGCTCTCTTGCTCTTCTGTTCTCCTGGGACAATGGTAATGGGTTTTTGTTCTGGTTGGAACGGAACAGTCTGTCTGCTCTTGTTGCGAAGTGAGTGTTCTGCATATTGGGTGGTTAAGTTGGAGTAGGAGATTATGTGTTCTTGGGATCTTGTGGTGTAGTGTTTTGAGAGAAGGAAATGGTGGTCATCGCCTCGTCAGGGGGAGTATAACGCGTTCACCAAGGTTACTGGTTGGTACTGCACCATTAGGGACTGTACTATACATAGACATACCGCTGCCTTATTTAGGTAGGTCACGATATGAATATGGACTACACATACCATCCAAGCTCCTATCACGCACGTAATCAGAAGAGAATAACAGAACCTGAGGCACAGTACTGGACTGGGGATATCATACAATCACCTCACCACTGCCACCATCGCCTCCGCACCATCAATGTTAAAGCAAGAACATCTTTTTTTCTCTGCAAGAACAGGATCCACCGCCTAAGAACCGTAGCTCATTGTTATAATTATAATCATAATTCGTCGATAACCTACGGGACCAGGCGCCCACCCACCCCATGACGTCTTGCCAGCAATCCATCAGATGGGAGGCGGACGGCGACTGGCGCGGCAAGAGGATAAACTGCAGTATAGTATACCTACTTCAATGTGGACCTTGGATCGTGAAGTCACTCGTTTGCTTACTTGTATGTTACTATGTAGAAACCACCGCCACACAAGCGATCCAATCAGAGACCGAATCAGCCCTTTCGGTGTCTGAGACGAAGAAAACGCCCCCACTTGACTCGGATAATCCTATCGACAAAGATGAAACACACCGAGATTCTGTCTCAGATAAGCATAAGCAACCGATCGAAAGTATAAGGTCTAATTCGAGGAAGAAAAAGGTCAAGTTCGGGACAGAACCTAACTTCCATCGGAGGTTTTTCGTTTCGGGGTTTGGTTCGAGAAGAAGTAAAAAGATCGTGTACAAAGTTATGACGGTGGTACAGCACTAGCCCCGAGGTTGGGGAATAATCAGAGATGCCGGTGACTGTTTCAGCCGGTGCATTGGGGAACTTACTTGGGTGCTCGGGGTTCTTTTGCTGTTTACTTGTCTATGGGTTATCTGGTTCGTGTGGATCTCCCTGACTTGTGGGGGGGGGGGGTTCTTCTTGCGTGTGTTTACAGTAGAGCATCGTGGTCTTCGGTGGGGGGTGGGGGGAGGGGAAGATAGCTACCTAGTATCTCTCTCACGCAGGTAGCTTCAGGTTTGGAAGAATCTTCTTTTTGTATAGACTACATTAGTGGCGTGTTTCTCCCACGCTCAGATCCTCACGATATCTCTCTTCCCAAGCAGATTTCTAGTTCCAATCTGTCGAGTTCTATTCGGCGAAAGAAAAAGAAAACCGAGTTTGGAGATGGTTAGGGACGCAAGACCATCCCCCATCCCATCCCGTCTATCCCCAATTCCAGGTCCTGGAATGGCTAGGTAGTTCCAGGGTTGGGACCCGATCTCATTGGAATGAAAATGTTTCGCCTCGTTCCTCAGCCCTCGTCAACTGCTTACCTTGCGAAGATAAGGATGGGAAGGGAAAAGGAGACTTCTCTTCCTCACCTTCTACACGGGCGTGACACCTGCCCTCCCTCGCCGCGGGGCTGGCTGATCTGTGCGACCTGGTTCCCGGGGTTTGCTGACGGGGTTTGCTTGGGTTCGGGGATAGGCGGCTTTGGACGTGGGGCAAGGCAGGTCGGAGACAAGGGGTCTGGGTTTATATGCTTGATGGGTATGGTTGGGGTGTGCTGTGCTGTGTAAGGTCATAGTAATGTATGGGGGTGGTAGGTGGAGAGGACGAGGGAGGTGGTGGTCTCCGGTCTGATTGCGCTCTACACTTTCGATGGGTGCTCACATAAAGCAGTAATTGCAATTCGACACAAGTAATTCAAGGGGGATACAGACTCGGTACTTTACATCGATAACAGGAACACAGGAAAGATCTTGCTCCCAGATTTGACAGTCCACGCTCTTCCATACACAACACAACACCCGAGAAAACACCAAACTCAACTCGAACTCCATCAAGGTGTAAGTAAATTGGCCAACGCCGGACCAAAAGTCTAGACGCCCTTCCATCGCACCCATCCAGCCCATGGACATTTCATAATCATCATCATCGCTCATAGCCCGGCCATCATCGTCGCTCATAACAATCTCAAACAGATACCAGAAAGAAAACGCACGCTGTACACTGCAACAAACACAAACATCACCACTGCAGCATCAACATAAAGAATCCCCAACAAATCAAAGAGTACTCTGTACACATAGCCAGAACAAAAGTCAACTCAGACCCCAACTCCAGAGAACACCTCCACATAATCTAGCACCAGATGCATCGCGCATATCGTGCTTTCTCTTCCAGAATAAACGAACGACGATGGATTCATCAGTCACGAACACACAGATATTGACAGGGTAAAGTGTGCGTGAACTTAGTTTCTGTTTGATCGATATTTGCACACTCATCAACACTCTTATTGTTATGCCTGAAAGGTATCAAACTTACCCACTCCCCAAAAAGCAAAGTCATTGAAAGTACCTAGGGATAGAAGGCGACCGTCTCTGACTCGGGTCCCGCTGCACAGCCGTATGATCGAAGTGCACGTGGCCGTTGGAGTCCACCCGAGGACGAGGTCCAGCGCTGTCACCGTTGATGGGGGGATTGCCGTTGCTGCTAGCGTAGCCGTTACTGCCGGTATAGCCGTTGCCGTTGGCGTAGCCGTTGCTGCCGGTGCTGCCGTCGGCGTAGCCATTGACGCCGCGACGACCCTGCTCAACACCCCCAGAAACCAAGCGGGGAGCAGAGCCGGAGGAAGGTGACTGCAGAATCGAGCTGGGGAAGAACGCCACCTCCACGCGGCCGGCCTCGCTCGGGGAGCGGCGCACCGAGCGCGGCGCATACCGGTCCAGGAACAGCACCCACGGATCGTGGGCGATGCGGTCGCCGGGCCGCGCCACCCCCTGCAGGAGCAGCAGTCGGTACATCAGGCGCTCGAAGTCGATCCAGTCGAGACCGTAGGGACGGTGCGAGATGCCCTGCGCGTCGGTGTGGGTGTAGAGGATCCGGAGGAGGGCGTCGTAGGTGGTATGGAGCTGTTCGGTGAGGGTTGGGTGGGGTTTGGTCATTTTGGCTTGGGGGGTTTGGAGATGGGATGGTTGTTGAGGTTGGTGAGGTTGGTGAGGTCTCTGGATGAAAGGAAAAGAGAGAAAGAGTGAATTTGATGGAGAGAGAGTGTCTTTTGATAGAGAGTGTGTGTTTTGATAGAGAGTATGTGTTTGGTAGAGAGTGTGTGGGTTTTGATAGAGAGTGTGGGTTTCGATAGAGAGAGTGTGCCTCGATAGAGAGTGTGTATCTCAATGAAGAGAAAGTATCTTTAGATAGAGAGAACAGTGAGAGATGGCTGAAAAGAACAGTAGAGTGGATCTCAGTATGGATGGGTGCCTGGTGTGGGTGTTGGAGATGAACTAAGAGAGAGTAGGATAGGCTGTTCGCCTGTTCTCGATTTGATACTGCTTTGGAATTATCGTCATCCTGTTTGTGGGAATGGGCTACCCTTAAGCGAGGTGTTGGGAAAGTGAATTCATGAAGAACTCATCATGAGTTAGGTTGTATGCAGGCATGTAAACATTGGCTCAAAGTGGTTATCGTGATTTGCTTTCCCCGCATTTGGCCATGCGGGAGCAAGTGATTGATAAGAACTTCCCCCGCGCAGGTCGCACCGTCTTTCTCCCTCTTCGCCTTCTTTGCTTCTTTGCTCCTTTGTATCAGTCTGCTTGACGCGACAATCTCACTATGCATGTGGAGGTAGAAGGACCTCCCAAGATAGTGCTCAGCGGCACACCGCGAGAAGTAAGTCGCTAATGCAGTACCCCAGTATCAATCGTTCCATCTGATGTCGCAGATCGGCCTGCAACATGGCAAGCAACTCTATTCCCAGATCAGGAATCAGCTCGCCGTCTACGAGGCCATGTTCCAACATACCTCGAAGATGTCGTGGGACGACGTGCTCGTTCTGGCCGAAGAATTCCGCGCCACCATCGCGCGGTCCACCCCCGACCTCCTGGCCGAGATGCAAGGCATCACCGACGGGGCGGGCCTTACACTCCTGGAGATCGTCGCCCTGAACTGTCGCAGCGAGATCTCCTTCGGCAAGTTTGCCGATGGCTGCACGAGTCTCGCGCTGCACCGACGGGACCGGGGCCGCATCCTCGCCCAGAATTGGGATTTCACCACGCGAGTACAGGGCAACCTCGCGCTGGTCGAGATCATCCAACCGGACAAACCAGTCATTTACATGGTTACGGAAGTGAGGCCCCTTGGGTCTTCTCTCCTCTGCTGATCATGAGATGCTGACAATGAGCAGGCCGGCATCGTCGGCAAGATCGGCTTCAATAGCGCCGGGGTGGGCGTCTGCCTCAACGCCATCCGCGCCCATCCCTGTCTCAGCTCCAATCTGCCGATCCATATCGCCCTGCGCCTGTGTCTGGAGAGCGACTCTGTCGAAACGGCGGTCCAGAAACTGTCCTCTCTGGGCGGCGTCGCCTCCAGCCAGCACATTCTCATCGCGGACCCGACTGTCGCCCTCGGGCTAGAGCTCTCCCCTCTTGGGGATGATCATCTCCCTGAGGACGAGTACGGCATGGTCACCCACACGAACCATTTCCTGCTCAACCGGCGGGTAATCGAGCCGCCGTGGCTGTCCGGGTCGCCGGTCCGGTTGGCCCGGGTGCGTGAGCTGGCGAGAGAGATTGTTGACAGCAAAGTCCTCGAGGGGGCTGGTGCTGAGCTTGCGGGTACGGTGCTTCGCGGTCAGATCTTCTCCGATACCTGCGACGGCCCGCAGTCGATCTGCTGGCAGGAGGATCCAGCGCAACCAAAGATTGTCCGGACGGCGACGTTGTTCAACATCGTGATGCGGTTGGAGGAAGGCAATCTGGGGGCGGAGGTTGTGTTTGGCAAGCCTGGATCAGGGATGGAGAGTTCGGTGATCAAGTTGCCATGGCGGTGATAGGAGGAACTGGCACTGGTATATTGTGAAAAACAGATAATAGCCTCGGAATCCTTTGTGTTGGAATTAGGCAGGATTGATGGTGGAGCATTTCGCTTGGTTGAATGCCATGAATGCTGCCACAATAAAGACTCGAGAACACTCTTTGATGTAGTTGTCAGACGATACTATGAGATTGAGGGTGAATGTTGTTCTTTCCCGATAGACTCGCAGCTATATAAAGACACCAATCCCACCCGGAGATCGAATGCCATTCATTCCCCTTCACCATACGTTTCACTGACCGTCCTGTCTACGCGCAGATCCTTTCAGATAAGTTTTACCCAAACCGACAATGTCCGAAGAACAAGCTCACGTTCAGTGGGAGGCAGAGAGAAAGGGCCAGCACCCCCACGCGCCACACCCTCACGCTCTGCCAACTCGTCCATCCACTCCACACCCCGCAGCTCGTCTTGCACCTGCGAACAAAACCTCTTCGAAGAAAGCGGTTGTCTCTGTCACTACTGGTGGCGAAGAGGCGCAGAAACCCAATCCTGATCCTGCTGCACCAGCCACCGATGATGAAGCGACTCCCGTTCAAACCGTGCCTCTGGAGGCCACCTGGGCGGAGCACTTTGCCAAACACGCCGAGACGCCGCGGCCCCCTCGAGTCCGACCCAAAGGCCTTGTTCGCTGCCTGTCCTCTACTCACCAACCTGGTGGTTATCACTATGGAGACTATGCGGTTCAGGCTGACGGAGCGGCTCTCGAGGCCCCCCGTGCTGTTCGCGCAGCACGTAGCGAGGGCACGTGCTCCCCGAGTTCTGGATTAGCAACGGACTACTTCACCGCGCCCGAGGATGCCGGAGAGGACTCGGACGAGTAACGGTGTGGGTGCCTCCGGTTGAGAATCAGCGGGGAGTAGGTGGTGGTGGTGGTGGTGGTGATGTTCACACTGTATTACTGTTCAGGTAAGGTACAGTACGCGGTAAGATAAGGATTTGTCCTTCTCTTATCTCAATAGCTTCCACAAGATCTCTCAATCAGACAAAGCAATTTCCGGAGTCGGAATTTGCTTTTGTGCTTTTTCTGACTTAGCTGGAATTTATCTATTAACACATTTGTTTTCTTGGATTTTGATCTTATCGAATCGATTTCTTTTCTTGCTTTTTTCTGTTGAACACATGCCAGAATAATACGAGAGCTGGTGAGGAGGGCATCCTGATCAGTTATAGACCGATGCTGAGCAAATCGGAGCCTTTGACTGGATCGGAGTCTTTCGGAGATATTGGAAATTCGGGGTTATGTACAGTAGAACAAACTTGTATTAACTTTACAGTCTATGGATGAGAGTACGTAGCTTTAACTTAGTACTGTAACGTTACTGAGTATAACTTAACTCCAATCTTCCCCGCAGCAATTCATCATTTTCCTCCCCACATTCGTCATGCTCGCTTCGGACTCTCTGACATATAACCCCCTGCCCATTGGCCACTTCCAACACCACCGCGATTATTGATCGATATCCTACCTAGTATACTGCTGAGTTCCATTCTTTGAGCCATACTGCAACAACTCCAACGCCCTCATGGCCTCCGCCACAGGCATCCCCCAGCTGCATCCGGACAGCATCGATTCCCGCGAGGACTCTCCGCTGTTGTCTACTCCCGGCAATGGGCCTCAGTCCGACGACGACAATGCTTCTCTGTATCCCAACCTCTTCCGAGGTGCGTATTCCAGCCATCAAGATAAATCACGAACAACCACTGACTTAACCCTCATTTGAATTTCCAGGTACTGCCCTCGCCGCCCAAGTAGGCATTTGGCTGGTAAGACCCTTCCACCCACCCACCCATTATTAATCATTCAAAGATCCTAACCAAACACCTTGAATCAGATCACCATCCTCGTCTGGACCGGCATCCTCTCGCATCCTCTCATCTTCTTCTCCCCGCACCCAGTCAGTCTCCCCTCCTATCTTCATCGAAATCCATCCATCTAACCCCCCACCGTGTTCGTTCAGCTCCTCAACTCCGCCGCCCTCCTCCTCCAAGTCCAAGCCGCCCTCATCCTCCAACCCACCGCCACCGCCGTCCAGAAACGCCGCGGCACCGTCATCCACTACACCATCCAAGCCCTGAGCGTGCTGGGCTTCCTGGCCGCGTTCCTCATCATCGAGATCAACAAGGGCGACCACGCCCGCTTCACCTCCCCGCACGGCGTGCTGGGGCTGGTCACCTACCTCGTGATCATCCTGCAGGCCGCCGGCGGCGTGGTGCAGTACTTCCTGCCCCGCCAGGTGCTGGGCAGTGTCGACCGCGGCAAGTCCCTGTACAAGTACCACCGCCAGTCCGGGTATCTGCTGCTAGGGCTGGAGCTGGCGACGGTGGCCGCGGCGACGCAGACGACGTACAACCTCAATGTGTTGGATATTCCGCTGTGGGGGGTGCTGATTGGGGCGGTTTTGGTGGTGGTGGGCGTTGGGGCGAGGGTGAGGAAGCATAAATTGGGGTTTTAGGGGTGAAGATCCGGGGAGGATAAAATATGGATTTGGGGGGGGGAGAGGAGGTGGGATGCGGTATAGTTGGTTTGGTTTGGTGCGTTGGGGTGAGGGTGACGAGTGAGTATTTGGGTACAGATTGTTTCTCCGCATAGCATGTATGTATGTACGTCATGATTGGGTTTTTCTAGAGATGTTTTCGTCTTATCATTGACTGGGGTATCCATATCCCTGGTAGTGAAGATTATGTCTGGAATATTGGTCCAAACTCTACTTAGTATGAATTAAATGACGAGTCTTGGTCCTCAGCTATCAAGATAATTAGCTACTGTATATTGATATGAGCAGGTCCACGGCCGCGGGGGCGTAGTGTAAATACCTGATCGGGAAAGGTGGAGCGGGTCAATTCATCAACCCATCGATAATCTCCTGCTGTGCTCTCTTTCTTCCGATCTTCCTTCCTGCTGCTCTCCAACCTCAATCCATACAACCCCCTCTCAATGCCTCCGCCAAATCCCCCCTATATCTGCCTGGGCTGCAGAGCCCTCACTCGCCGCCCCTTCTCCTCCTCCGCCCGCCGCCGCTCCCAGCTTGTCCGCCCGCCGACCGCGCCCAAACCCACCCCCGACGTGAAGCACATCCGCAAAAACCCCGAGCTATACGCCCAGAACTGTCGCGACCGCAACTACCCAGCCCACGCCCAACACCCCTCCACCATCCAGCAGTTGTATGACGAGATCGGCGAGATCGACGTCAACCTTCGCGCCCCGCGGTCCCAGATCAAGAAACTCGAGAAAGCCATCGCGGAGATCGCCGCCGCTCAAGCAAAGAACCCGGACGATGCCACCTCCCCCACCGAACCAAGCATCTCCCAATTGCGCGCCGAGGCGACCCAACTGAGAAGCGAGTCCCAAGCCCAGCTCACGCGGCAACAGACCTGCGATGAAGAGATGCAGCGGCTGGCGCTCTCCCTGCCCAACCTGTCCTCGGCCGACACGCCCATCGGCGACGCCCCGACCCTCATCTCCTACCTCAACTTCGACCCGGCCTCCCCACTGCCCGACTGGGCTTCCAACCCCGACCCGACGCGGTCGCACGTCCACATCGGCACCACGCTGGGCCTCCTGGACTTCACCAGCTCGGCCACCACCACCGGGTGGGGCTGGTACTTCCTCACCAACGAGGGCGCGCTCCTGGAGCAGGCCCTCATCCAGTACGCGCTGACCGTGGCGCGCCGCCACGGCTGGAAGCCCGTCTCCCCGCCCTCGATCGTCTACTCGCACATCGCCGACGCGTGCGGCTTCCAGCCCCGCGACCAGCACAACGAGCAGCAGATCTTCACCCTCGAGCAAGCCGACAAGGACAAGGAGAACGGCGCGAAGCCCCAGCGCGCCCTCGCCGGCACCGCCGAGATCCCGCTCGCCGCCATGCACGCCGGCCGCACCTTCGACTCCGCCGACCTCCCGCTGAAACTGGTCGGCCCCAGCCGCTGCTACCGCGCCGAGGCCGGCTCCCGCGGCGTCGACACCAAGGGCCTGTACCGCGTCCACGAATTCACCAAGGTCGAGATGTTCGCGTGGGCCGACGCGATCGCCGCCGCCGACGGGTCGTCTTCATCCGACGACCTCTTCACCGAGCTGCTGGCCATCCAGACCGAGATCCTGCACTCCCTGGGCCTGCCCGCCCGCGTCCTGGAGATGCCCACCTTCGATCTGGGCGCCAGCGCCAGCCGCAAGCGCGACATCGAGGTCCTGTTCCCCTCGCGGCTGCGCAGTGCGGCCCCCGCCGAGGGGACTGTCGATGGCACCGATGCAACCGCATCGCTCGAATCCGCCTGGGGCGAGGTCACCTCCGCCTCGATCTGCACGGACTACCAGAGCCGCCGCCTCGCGACCCGGGTGCGCGACGGCAAGGCCCAGAAAAACAAGGCCCCCACGCGGTTCGCGCACACCGTCAACGGCACCGCCATGGCCGTCCCCCGCGTGTTGGCCGCGATCCTGGAGCATGGCTGGGACCCCAAGCGGGAGGTGGTGGTCGTGCCGGAGGTGCTACGGGGGTGGATGGGCGGGATCGAGGTCATCGGGAAGCAGAAGTGAGCTTGCCTTCCGTCGGTAGGTAGGTACCTAAGCTAGTTACCCTCAGCCTTGTTGGCTCATGGTATGGCTCTGGGAGCTGTGCAATGAGATTCCGGAGGTGAATGCAAGGTAGATGTATGATTATGTTATGTTATGTGTATGTGTGTGTGTGTATTGTGAGGACCCCTGTTCTCTCTCTCCTCTTTCATAACTACACAGGAAGGAGTCCATGCTCTATGTAAATTATATTCAATGTACGATAAATGAAGCTTGACGAGTGCGTGTGTCCCACTTAGCCGGTTCCGGCCGTGTACCTTAGACATGTAGATCCGATAAGGAGAGCCATCCTGCTACGGTCCACGCAAGAACATACATAGCAAGTGACCACGCAAACCTCTACCTACAAATGGAAGAAAGACCCTTGGGCTTGGGTGCGTTAACCCAATGGTATAAATAAATCTTGATCCCAGGATCCAATTTATCTTAGTTGTCCCCATTCCTCTTCACTGTAACATCATCAATCCAACTAGTGCCCACCACCTCATCAGGAAGAGGTAAGACTATTCCAAGCTCTGAGCAAAACGCCCGAAGAAACAAGACGAAAAGGAACCCCGTAGCTTGCATTTGTATTCATAACTTCATAGCACATTCACTAGGACTAGGACTAATTGGGTTTTTGGCGAGTGGACAGCATCATCGTTCATTCATAAGGAAGGGGAACTTGAACAAGAGGGGGGGGGGACACCAGAGGTTCAGAAAAAGACGTAAAGAAAAAAGAAAGAAGAAGAAACCAAAACAGTAGACGTGAACCTCATATCCGTTTATATCGTTAATCCATCCAGCATCGACCATCAACCGTGCAAAACTATATTCATGAACCGGGTATCGAAAGCAACCAAAACCAATGGGAAGTAAAGCATGTGTAAAAAGGGAGGGGAGGAGCTTCTCAAGTAGAAAAGTAAAATTGCGTGATCGTTTGTCGCGTGTCGAGTCGTTGCACTGGGTGTGATGGGTGGATCACTCCCATGGAATATCCTCATCTTCGACCTTGGTGCAGGTCAGGTATGGTAGTCCGCTGCCCTCACTACTATGGCCAGTACTGCCGCTGTCTTTCAGGTCCAACTCCAGAAAGTTCCGCATCAGGGGCTTGACGATCTCGCGGGCCAGCCGTTTAATTTCGTCCATCTTCCGCTCAAACCGTTTCATCACCTCGCGGTTGTATAGGGCTTCCGCGGAGGGGGTGGGGTGGACTTTGAGGAAGCGCTTGAGGTCATCGTGCGGCAGGTAGGCTTGGGTGGAGGGGGAGCCGAT